TTAAAGAACAGAACTACAAACTTTAAATAAATAAACTTACGGGGTTTTAGGCAGGATGTGTGTTGGAGCACTTATGGTGAGGCAACTGTTGTCAGATATGAYCTGAAGTGTGAGATTAACCATTTCTTTGCCTAGCAAATAAAACAAATACAGTGAGAATGTGTTTAGAACAATTTCGTGTAATTTCAAAACAGTTTCACAGGAAAACCCACCTCCAAGATGAAGCTGACTGGCTGTTAAMCTGGAGACTAAACCGATGTTTTTCAGCGAGCCACTCTGTGAAGAGGTCGTCACAGTCATAGGAACACAGAGGTGCAGAACAGTGACAGAAGGACTTTCTGTTGAGTTCACTGAGGTTGTTTTAGTTTTTTCCTGCTCCATTAGAGGAGGAGAATGTGACGGAACTTGCTCAATCAAACTTGAATTTATTTTTTCACACAGATGGAACTGTGTTAAAGATGAAAGCACAGTGTTCCAGTCCTGAAAAAAAAATTGTATAAAGAATGTTTACTGTGCGATGCCAGAGACTAAGACAATGATCCTTTTATGTTGAGAAATGATGGGAATTAAGCTGCTTTAGTCAAAACTTAAAAATGTTAAGCACACTCTTATGCAATATTATAAAATGTCACGCTCAGCATATCTGTTAATGAGTCTCAGCTAATACTCATTTATGTGTTGCTAATGTTGACTAGCTGTAGTGGACATCCACACTTTCTGAGCAATTTTATAAATGTGCTTTCTTAATATCTTGTTCACAAGAGATAATTGATGGTGCACAATAAGTGCAGCAGTGTTGATGCTCGTATCGTCATAATTCTTTTTTTGCTGGTTCAAACTTTACAAATTTGTCTAAGACACATATGGGTCCTTACCTTTGCTATGTCCGGGTTTGGAAGACTGTGAGTGTAATTGTAAGAACTGAGGTAAATTAATGAGATGGCCAGAGTCAAGAGACACAGGAAAAAGGTTGCCCCTGGTGGATTATRGGATACATATTCTCTAAGGTTAGAGACTGGCTGCCAGAAACTCATCCTTAGACTCCACGTACAGATGAAATGTTGTAACCTGCAAACAGGGAAGTAAAAAGCCACTATTTAAGAACTGACTGGGTTTTTTCTCACAGTCATTATTGTAGTCCCTTACAGAAATTTAGTTGACCAGCAATTGTTAAGACAAGAGAAGGACTCAAAGATTGTGTAAAATGTCTTTAAAAAAACTTCCATCTTACTTCGGCAATTGTATCTTTATCATGATTGCTATTAACCTGGATGAATTCAAAGCATGACTTTCAACAAAATGGTTCCAAAACAGGGATGAATATGTAAAGGTTAATGTTTTGTGATAAAAGTGTGACAGTCATGCATTTTGTTRTCAGATTATTTGTAGTCTGTGCTTCTATCTGAACTGACAGGCTGCATACTTTAACATTATTATGATGTCCAAAGCTCATGTCATGTGTTTGTAGGATCTCAAGAGATTAAGCCACAGCAAAACAAGCCGTGACCTCACAACACCCATAAAATCTAAAAGTCATTTAAGTGGGCAGATATTTCACTTAAAAACTAGTAATACAACAGGCTGGATAGCTTATTTAACTTTATATCACGGACATATTTGCATGTTTATCTGTCCTTTTCTGTGGTGAGGACAACAGGTTACTGTGTTGGACAACAGAGAAAGACGTATAACATTTGTCAGGGTGAAGCTGCTAACGATGTAACATGAAACATTTACATACCTTCAAACAATACTTTCCGAAATATGACGTTTCTTTCCAGAAATACTGTAGAAAAGTAGAAAACAAATATACTGCACGTTCTCATTACACTTGAATCAGCAGTACAGTAGCGACGACAAACTACGACAGTATTACTACTTTACGACAGGTTTTGTCTTTACGACAAATGACGTGAGTCACGTGACAGGCGCATCTCGCTGTTAACTACAAATTAGGCAAAATTCACATCTTCACAGTTCACTTTTGATTGATTCTGAAAGATAAGAATCATAATAAGTATTATGCGGCTCTGCAAGACACGCCCCCTACAAAGCACGCCCCCCTGATCCACGTTGTTTTGGGATTGGATAACATGCAGAGATGGCGATGGCGGGTCAGGTAAGAGTTCAGTACGCTTTCAGTGCTAACTTWTTTAGTTCATGAAATTTGGGGATACTTTAAATTCTTAAAATTTGGGGTTACTTTTAATTCTTAAACTTTGGGTAAAAATTTGGAAGGTATGTGAAGCTTTTTGTGATCGTCAAATCTGTTTTTACACATTTTAAATTTTATTTTTCTACAGACCAACACAACTACTTTTCCAGATGGCACAAAACCGAAACTGAAGAAATTGGGATTTGACAATTACCAGTGCCCATTATGCGAGAAGRTTGGGCCGTACCACARTCTTGTGCCACATTTACAAAGCTACCACCGGGCCACTGTTAAATATGGAGGTATGTCCATCTGTATCWGAGGAGCMCAAAGTGGGGCCTGTGGGCCAAATTTGGCCTACAAGSAATTTGATTTGACCCTTCAGCAGTTACCATAATTACTAGGTTGTAACCTGTTGTACTATGTTTTTATCCATTGGCCCAAAGACTACATAAGGTGAGGTAGTGCAGATAATTTTCACTCATGGTGCTTACGTTATCTTTGATATATTAAGATTAAACATGAAATACAAGTAACAACAAGAGACATTTAGATTAAATTTAACCACACATGTAGCTTTGCACACTTTATAAGGCCACAAATAATTATATTTTATCAGTTTATGAAATGTCCCATGAACCTTTGCTGCTTGAGTCTCTATGGCAGACTAAAACAAAAGTGGGCCACCACAC